AAAGAAAGGAGTTAAGGATTACTGGAAAATTCTTGGTCTACACAAGCGGAAGAATAAAGTTACTATGAACTGAGATAGGGAAGACAGTGGGAGAAACAGGTTTTGGGGGGGAAATAAGTAGCTCAGGTTTAAGCATGAGGAATTTAAAGTGAAACTCCAGTAATCGGAGTGAAAGAATATGAAGCACTGAACTGGGCAGTGATAATAGAGTTGGACAGCCTCCCAAGTAAGTCCCACCTCAGCCTCCCAAGTAGCTGGGACCACAGGCATACCACCACGTCCGGCTAATTTTTGTATTTTGGTAGAGATGGGATTTCACCATGTTGTCCAGGCTGATCTCAAACTCCTAGCCTCAAATGATCCACCTGCTCAGTGACTGGTATTCAAGAGATAGCCATTGTGATTTAAAATGTAGGCTCTGGCACTCAGTTAAAGGAGAAAAAAAAGGAAGAAGTGGCGGAAGACCTCATGATTTAATGGCTGGAGTGATGCTGGCAGTAGAACGAGGATGAATCCCTGAAGAGAAAAATAGAACCCGTCAGGCGGGCACAGTGGCTCATGCCTGTAATTCCAGCACTTTGGGAGGCCAAGGCAGGTAGATCACGATGTCAGCAGTTCAAGACCAGCCTGGCCAAGATGGTGAAACCCTGTCTCTACTAAATGTACAAAAATTAGCTGGGTGTGGTGGCATGTGCCTGTAGTCCCAGCTACTTGGGAGGCTGAGGCAGAGAATTGCTTGAACCTAGAAAGCGGAGGTTGCAGTGAGCCAGGATCACGCCACTGTACTCCAGGCTGGGCAACAGAGTGAGACTCTATCTCAAAAAAAATTAAAAAGAGAGAACTTGTCATGAGAAACAGGGAAGGGAAAGATGGCAGGTCATACGTGTAAGCATACTGAAGATATATACACACACACGCACACATACAAACACACACACACATATATGTATATACACACACACATATATATATATATGTATTTTTGAGATGGGGTCTCCAGGCTAGGCATGGACGCTCATGCCTGTAATCCCAGCACTTTGGAAGGCCAAGACAGGTAGATCACTGGAGGGCAGGAGCTCCAGACCAGCCTGGCCAACATAGCAAAACCCCATCTCTATTAAAAATATGAAAATCAGCCATGTGTGGTGGTGCATGCCTATAAACCCAGCTACTCGGGAGGCTGAGGCAGGAGAATCGCTTGAATCCCAGAGGCAGAGGTTACAGTGAGCTGAAATCGCACCATTGCACTCCAGCCTTGGTGCTCGGTGACAGGGCAAGACTTCATCTCAACAACAACAAAAGAATGATATGGGGTCTCTGTTACCCATGCTGGAGTGCAGTGGCACGATCTTGGCTCACTGTACTCTCCGCCTCGCATGCTCAAGTGATGCTCCCACCTCAGCCTCCCAAGTAGCTGGGACCACAGGAGCACCACCACGTCCAGCTAATTTTCGTACATTTGGTAGAGACAGTGTTTCGCTATGTTGTCCAGGCTGATCTCGAACTCCTGGCCTCAAACAATCCACCTGCCTCGGCCTCCCAAAGTACCGGGATTACAGGCAGGAGCCATGGCACCCAGCCCACTAATATTGGATTTAAGGTGCCAATGGGACAGCTGACAGGAGAGGCCTAGGAGAGAGTTAGCAACACAGCTCCAGTGCTCAGGAGCAGTCAGGAAGATACAGACAGAAGGAGAATTCCCTCCTCCCAGCAGCTACAGGTGTATCAAGGGAGACTGACAAAAAGGAGCCATGAAGGATGCTGGGACTGAGAAGGAACAGTCAACGTCAGTCAAGGAAGGAACAGAGCATGGAAGATCCAGGTAAGGAGGTTCCAGGAAAATCCAAGTAAACAGAAATTCAATTTAGCTAATGCTAGGCTGTAATATTTACAAAAACACGAGGTTAGTTTTGCTCAGGCCTAAGGTCTATCCTCTCTGTTAAATTAAAAGTAATAGTTTATTAACAGTTAGTTATTTAAACTTACTCACTGCATTCATAAAAGCCAAGTTTGTGAACCAAAAATAATGTTTAACCATCAAACATAGCACATGACAATCAACTAGTACCATACATTACTGTAAGAATCTGTCCGTACATAAGTTTGTCCATAAAGATGGGTCCCTGGGCTGGATGGGCCACAGGGGAGCTTTCTATGCTATATGATCTTTGCAATCACTGATGATTTATGTATATCCTTGGATTTTGCTAACCTGCCCCTTATCTGATTCCAGACTTAGAAATGTATGGAAACAAAGACTCTGAAAGCCCTCAATGAATCATTCATAAATCTTGTGTTTATTAAATGACAAGTACCTCGAACTCTGCCTGATGAAGCCATTTATGTGTAGGCAAAACAGACAACAACAAAAAATGTACTCTGACTAAAGGTAACAATTACATTGGAAACAATTCCCTGATTCTCAACAGACTGACCCTTCCTTTTCCCATCTCGCATTTCAAAAGGAAACAAGTCTTTTGTAATTCCCTGAAATTTAAATAGAGATTATGTTGCAATATCTTGACTGAGAAAGCTCAGCTTCCTCCTCTCACCCACTTCTTTCCTGGGAGCATGATCCCAATGTGTGGTAGCCAAAGGTTTCAAAATATATTTCTAATAACTGCTCTGTGTGCTGCAATTAATTGCCCAGTGCCACCAATGAGATGAAATGTATTTTCCCCTTTCTGTCAAATTTCCCAAATATTCATTCATTCACTCACAATTCACTCAATCTGTACTGCGTTCCAACTGTGAGTGATTGCAGCTTTTTTGCCTGGCTCCAGGGAGAACCGGGCAGGTGCGTACAGGCACAGAGAAAGGTGCCCTGGCTGCTTTTGGCATTTCAGTGAATTCCAAACATGGTGCTGAGGTGAAAAAAAAAAACCTGAGTAAAAGTGAAAATTCCTAGAAAGCTTTATGGTTTTCCATTTCCTACATACCCAAGAAGAGTGGCCACTCCTTAGGGATATGCAGGGACAATTCAGGGATGTGGTCTGGGGCAGCTTCTCTTACCACAGAAATAGGGCTACTTGCCAGGCGCGGTGACTCATGCCTGTAATCCCAGCACTTTCTGGGAGGTCAAGGTGGGCAGATTGCCTGAGCTCAGGAGTTCGCGACCAGCCTGGGCAGCACAGTGAAACGCTGTCTTTACTAAAATACAAAAAATTAGCCGGGCGTGGCAGCGTGTGCCTGTAGTCCCAGGTACTCGGGAGGCTGAGGCAAAAGAACTGCTTGAACCCGGGAGGCGGAGGTTGCAGTGAGCCGGGATGGCACCACTGCACTCCAGCCTGGGAGGCAGAGTGAGACTTCGTCTCAAAAAGAAGAGAAAAGAAAAGAAAGAGAAAGAAAGAGAGAGAGAAAGAAAGAGAGAGAGAAAGAAAGAAGAAAGAAAAAAGAAAGAAAGAAAGAAAGAAAAAGAAAGAAAGAAAGAAAGAAAGAAAGAAAATTGGACTACTTGTCTCCATACTCTATCAAGACTTTTAAACAGCAGAGTGATGGGGCCGGATTATCAGTAAAGGACTAATGGGAAGCAGAAAGCAATACGGTTTTCAGTGGCTAACAGAGAATAAGTTCTTTTCAAACTAAGGTGTACACATTAACTCCCTTTATCCCTCAAACTTTCCTAGTGAAAATACACTGGAGGGAGGGGCACTGATATCAATATTAATGAATTGTCACAAGCCTTGGGGCAGAAGCATATAACATTGAATGCCACAAGAATTGGGACAACCAACAAGGTTTGTATTTTAGAGGTTCCTCTCCTTCAGCTTTTACCGCTGAGCACAAAACAAAAAGGCCAGAAGAAGAACTGCAGAGTGAAGAAGACTCAGATTTGTCCGCATGGCACAGTTGTGATGCTGATCCCCTGTCCTGGGGGTGGGTGTGAGTCTCCACAGTCCCTGACATAGTAGGCGGTGCCGATACTGAGGGAGTCCCAGTTTACTGCGCCTCGGTTTCTGGAACAGCAACCTCAGATTTGTCGCCCTTACCCCCGTCTCTAGCTATTTCGCAGACGGCTGAACTTTGTGGAGTTATTTAGATTCAACCAACCTAGGCAACACCACCTCTCAAGGAACTGCCCTCCTCCGCCCCCGCTTCTCCCCATTCTCTGGAACAGCTGTTATCGTGTCCTGTGCAAAGAACCTGGAAGGATGACAGCCGTTTGGTAAGTTTCATAGTGGAGGAAGAGGGCTGGGGTGGAGGAGTTCGATACCCTATTAGGCCCCACTTAGTACTCAAGGGCGCCCCGCCGGGACCCAGACAATACTCGCAGGATCAACAGCTCTCCTAGCTCCGGGACCTGGTGCGGCGTGCGGAAGAGGCGTGTGAAGAATCACGGCCCTATCTGGATCGGCCCGCCCCTGTTGTCCCCTCAACTCCACTGGGCCACCCGTCCTTACCTGAGCGTCTTTCCAGATCAGGAACCTAGCGGCTAGCTCGCCTCCGGGTATCCGCAGCTTGCACGCCCCGCCATCAGAGCTACGCCCCCTCGTGCCCCGTCACGCCCCACATACCCAGACCACGCCCCTCAACCGAGGCCACGTCCCCATCCGGCAGATCCACGCCCCACTACGCCGGTATGTACCGCCCTGGTAACGCCCTACCAAACCGTGCCAGTCTCGCCCTCCACCCTGGCCATACCCCTTTAGCCACAGCCCCGCCCCTCTCTCCCGGACCACACCCGCATCCCACTGCTCAGTCCTAGCCTCGCCTCGGCGCTCCGCCTAGGCTCGTCCCTCCAGCCTGGGCCACGCCTCTGAGCCCCGCTCTGGCCCCGCCCCCGCCCCCCCGCCGGACGAATCCTCCCTCCTCCTGCTCACCGCTGGTCGCATTTGTGCATTCAAACTAGACCAGGGGCTTCAGAGCCTCATCTAAAAAGTGACTTTCCCTCCGTTCCTTCCATCTCCAAACACCAGGACTTGATGTGCTGGGAACAGGTGACTCAGTGGGAAAAAAACACTGAACGTTTCCTTTCCCGCTAGTTTTCATGTCCAACTTACCCGAGTTTCCTTGAGCCAGTTTTTATGTCCTCTGAACTCGAACTGTGGACTCCTGTTCCTTTCAGCCCAGTTTTCATATCCTTTAAAGCAGAGCCGTGGATGTGTTCCTTCCAGCCTCTTAGCCGACCTTAAATGCTAATCAGATGAGTGGAAAATAACAGAATTCCTCTACTTCCTGATGTCTCCTCTAGATGGCCTTTCCTAGGCACCCAGGCACCCGTTGCTGCCGAGGGACTGTGGAGACATCACCCACATTTTGTGCTTTAAGATTACTCTGCTATCATTCCACCCTCCATTTACAACTCTGGGTCCACGTTAAAAATATGAAGAAGCCATAACCAGCTTTCTTTCCCTGTGTACATAAATCTCTGACTCATTCATGCAAGTTTCATTTATTGAGTACATGCGCCCCTGACAAATAAGACAAGCCTCAAGGAACTTACAGTCTGAAGTTGCCCCAACTTGGGTTTGGATGAGAAAATTGGGGAAGATGTGACAAAATGTTGATAGGTGGAAAAGGACTTGGTAATCTTAGGTCTTCCTGATCCCATTAGCAGGAATATTTTGGGGTAGCAAACATAGGAAGCCACTTTTATAGTACTTAGTACATTTCTTTACACAATAAATTATCAATAAATCTTAACTGAATATCTACTCTTCCACATGTATAGAAAGATATAATTTCCCCCTTTGTAGAAGTAAACTTTGCTACTTGTACTGCTTCATATGCCAACAATAAAGATTTTATGATCACACAGTGCTTTTTTCTTCTCTTCCCACCCTTCCTTGCATTTCTGGCTTGAAGACAGTGAGAATATTAAAAATTTGGGTTAGAAAAAACACAGAGAAAACAGCAACTTTCAACAGAACACTTTCATTATGCTCACCCTGACCCTGAGAACTCTGCCTCATTTATAAAATGTTTCAACTGTCAATCATTTTTTGCTTGAAAAATGAATTCATAGAAATTGGCTCCAATACAGCCTATATAAATTACTGACTTGATTTTTACACAAGTAGTTCTACCTCACCTTCTTCCACAAATGACTTGAGGCAGCTTACTAAAATACAGACATTACTAGCTTTAAAAAAGAGGAGAAGGAACCAAGGAAAAAAAGAGCTTAATGGAAAGAGAATGATGTGGCCAATGATAAAATTAACATTCAAGTTTGCACTCCATCAGATCCAGAACAGTTGTCAGAAGCAGGCCAGAAATTTGACCCTAACTAAGCTGTTGAATAGCCATAGAAAAGAGGAAATAGCAATCATTTTTAGGTTTTCGCTGTTCATAAGATACAAACTGGTTTTCTTTCTTTCTTTTTTTTTTTTCAAAATTTCATTCTTGTCACCCAGGCTGGAGTGCAATGGCACTATCTCGGCTCACTGCAACCTCTGCCTCCCAATTTCAAACAATTCTCCTGCCACAGCCTCCCAAGTAGCTGGGATTAAAGGTGTCCACCACCATGCCCAACTTTGTATTTTAGTGGAGACGAAGTTTCACCACATTGGCCAGGCTAGTGGCGAATTGCTGACCACAGGTCATCCTTCTGCCTCAGCCTCACAAAGTTCAGGGATTATAGGCGTGAGCCACTATGCCTGGCTGTTTTGTTTTTATAGAAGCAGTTTTTCTTGAATTTTTGTCCTGAGAGAAATACAGTTTCCTCATCAAGATTATGTAGTGAGCCTAGTGGGAACTATGTGTCATAAGGAGTGACACCCAAATCCCCTCAATGAAAACTGTTGACACAATCACAAAGCACAGTGCATTGAATCAATTCTATGAAATGGCCAGCTACAGTGGTTCACTCCTCTAATCCCAGTACTTTGGGAGGCCAAGGCAGGAGGATTGCCTGAGCCCAGGAGTTCAACCAGCCTGGATAACATGGTAAAATCGCATCTCTACAAAAAATACAAAAATTAGCAGAGCGTGGTCATGTATGCCTGTAGTACCAGCTAATCAGGAGGCTGAAGTGAGAGGATCATCTGACCCTAGGGAGGTTGAGGCTGCAGTGAGCAGTGATCACACCACTGCACTACAGCCTGGGCAACAGACTGAGACCCTGTTTCAAAAAAAAATTCTATGAACCATTAAAATATTTCTGTTCACTTGAATACACAGGCCCTCAATGGCCTGGCTTAATCCAGAGTAGCACTTAGATCATCTTTCCCCAGGATGGCAAATAGGTTTCAACTCACATGTTAACTGATTTATTTGTAGCAGCTGCCTGAATAACTATGTTGAGAAGTTTTGGGGCTTTGTTCAGGCTCAGAAAGAAAAAGTTCTGAGCTCAATTAACAATGCTGTGGGTGTAGGATAGGTAAGTGGCTGCATGCAAAAACCTACTGGGTACCTCTGCTTTGAAGAAATAGAGGTCTTGCATGTAGAACTTTTGTGCAGTCACTCAAAATCAACAAATTCTCACTACAGGGTTCTTGACAAATGCCAGACGGTAGAGAGTTCAAGGTCCGTTTCTCACTCTGACCACCTATTCTAGTCTTGTCATGTTCATACCTGTCTCTGAACATTTTCTTCTATTGTTCCCATTGTTCGCACCACTCTTTACGCAGATCTTTACTTGGCTGGAGTTTTCTTATTATTCAGTACTTAGCTAAAATGTCACCTCTTTAGATATGTGTTTCCTGACAACCATACCTGAAGCTGTATCAATATGCACTGTGCCCAGAGATCACCGGAGGAGCATGTTACAGTGCAGACTCTCACTCAGTGGTTCTGAGATGTGACTTGAGATTCTAGATTTCAAGCAAGCTCCCAGGAGATGCAATCCTGAGGTTCTATAAAAAGACATTTTGAGGCCAGGCCAGTGGCTCACGCCTGTAATCCCAGCACTTGGGGAGGCCGAGATGGGCGGATCAACTGAGGTCAGGAGTTTGAGATCAGCCTCGCTAACATGGCAAAATCGCGTCTCTACTAAAGATACAAAAATTAGCTGGGTGTGCTGGCGGGCACCTGTAATCCCAGCTACTCAGGAAGCTGAGGCAGAAGAATCACTTGAACCCAGGACGCAGAGGTTGCAGTGAGCTGAGATTGTGCCACTGCACGCCAGCTTGTTGAATAGCCATAGAAAAGAGGAAATAACAATCATTTTTAGGTTTTCACTGTTCATAAGATAAAAACTGCTTTTCTTTCTTTTTCTTTTTTTCTGAAGTTTCGTTCTTGTTGCCCAGGCTGGCACAATCTCAGCTTACCGCAACCTCCGCCTCCTAGGTTCAAGTGATTCTCCTGCCTCAGCCTCCCAAGTAAGGAACATTATATAAAATATAAATATTTTATAAAATGTTGAAACATTATATAAAATGTTTCAAATGTAAGACATTCCTTGCCTGAAAACAGAAACAAAAAATGGCACCAAATACAGTTTGTATTAAGTTACTGTGTTTAGAATCACATATTAATTAGTTCCCTTCTTTTCTCACCTTCCAATCTATTTCTGCCTTATAAACAGTGGGAACACTCTCAGCTCACTGCAACCTGACAAAGTGAGACTTCATCTTCAAAAAACAAAAATACACTTTGAGTAACAGCTTCACCTCTCCATCTCTATTATCTGTTTTATTTTCTTCATAGCATTCATCAGTATTTGAAATTATTTCATTATTTGTTGGTTGGTTGATTACTAGAATGTAAACTCCCTAAGAGCAGGGACTCTGACCAATCTGTCCAACTTTGCAGTGCTGGCAGTTAACACAGTACCTGTAGTATCAGCAGATGCCTTTTAAATATTGTTAAATGAATGACTTTATGATTCATCAATTCCTTTATCTGTTCAGTGACTGCTCAGTTATATCCAGGAACTAAACTATAAATGATAGAAGGCAGTGTTACTCAAATGCTACTTTACGAACTGCTAGGTATTCTGCTGCAAGCTGAGATAAGCTTGAACTAGAATGTAAATCTGATATGTCATTAAGCATAGTGGTTATTTAGGATGCCATATTTTTTTTCTTTTTTCCTTTTTTTTGGAGACGGAGTTTCACTCTTGTTGCCCAGGCTGGTGTGCAATGACACGATCTCTCGGCTCACTGCAACCTCCACACCTGGGTTCAAGCAATTCTCCTGCCTCAGCATCCCAAGTAGCTGGGATTACAGGCATGCACCACCATACTCAGCTAATTTTTTGTATTTTTAGTAGAGACGGGATTTTACCATGTTGGCCAGGCTGGTCTTGAACTGACATCAGGTGATCTACCCACCTGGGCCTCAAAGTGCTGGAATTACAGACGTGAGCCACCACACCCGGCCAGGATGTCATATTTTTCCATAGCCAGGCTTTCTTGATCTGATTAGTAGGATATTTCTAGGCGGGAAACACAGGAAGCCACATTTATAGTACTTACTGCAGTCTCTTCCATAATACATCTTCACTGTTTGTATGCCCTTTTAACTAGTTTATAGAGCTACACTTTCCCCCCCTCATAGCAGCAAGATTTGCTACATATAATTCTTCATCTGCCAGCAATAAAGGTTTTACTTTTGTTTTTTTTTTAACAGTAGAGATTTTAGAATCACATATTAGTTCCCTTCTTTTCTCACCTTCCATTCTATTTCTGCCTTGAAGACAGTGGGAACATTCACAAACTTGGGCTAGAAGGACCACAGAGAAAAGAACAATTTTCCCACAAAACATTTTTATTAAGTTCACCCTGACCCTGAGAATTCTGCCTCATTTATATAAAATGTTTCAAATGTAAGACATTTCTTGCCTGAAAACAGAAACAAAAATTGGCACCAAATATGGTTTGTATTAAGTTACTGTGTTCATTTTTATGTAGTTAGCAACAGCTCATCTTCTCCCACAAATGATTTGAGGCAGTTTAGAAAATTAAAGACAATATTGGATTAAAGAAATAGCTGAAGGAATCAAGGAAAGGGAAGCTTAAAGGAAAGGTAATAATGTAGCCAATGATAAAATAAACAAGTAAGCAAGCCTGAACTTTTTCCTTCTTAGCACAGAGGAAAATTTCCTTGTTAAAGGCAGGCCAGAGATTTGGCGCTAAGCTTCTGAATGAAGAGAGAATGACCATAATTTTAAGGTTTTCCAGTGTCCATAAAATATTATTATTATTATTTGAGACAGAGTCTCGCTCTGTCACCCAGGCTGGAGTGCAGTGGCATCATCTTGGCTCACTGCAACCTCCACCTCCAGGGTTCGAGGGATTTTTTTTGCATCAGCCCCCTGAGTAGCTGGGACTACAGACACATGCCACCATGCCCG